TCTATGCATAGACATTTAATTTTAACACAAAATATATTATATGATAGCCCTAGTTTAGGGGAATCTAATAAAAAAAAGTTTGTGTAATTTAGATCACCCATTGTATCACAATTAGTATTTTAATTTTAGTAATTTTTTTATTAATTTTTGTTTGCCCCATAACTTTTAATACTCCACTGTACATATTATATACCTAATCAAGATAAACTTCAAAAAGAATGTCATTTTATCATTGTCCCTATATCCTTAGAACCGGAGAAGTCTGTAATCGTAAATGTTATCATCCCAAGGGGTGCAAAATTCACCGGAATTCATCTATTTGTTATTCTTGCAAAGAATATGGTTGTACTAAGTTTACCTCTTCTGATTATGGTTATTGTGATCCTCATGTACAGAAACATTGTAGAAGAGAGTATAGGTATCAGAAAAAGCTGGAGAAGATGGTACAAAATAGTGTTGAGATAAAAGGCTCTTAGTAATATATGCATTGTATATATGTTAAATCACGTCAAGGTTAGAATTTTCATCAAGGTTGAAAAAAAGTTAGCCTTGACGAAAAAGGATAACTAGATAATATTTTTGGGTCGATAGAATGAGTTTTAGGCTAGCTGTCCAACTTGTTCAAGTTGTCAAGATAAATTCTTGATCTTTTTACTTTTATATTTTTTATCTATATGTATAGAACATATGTGTAGTGTATATAAAACATATATGTAATTATGTATATATAACATATGTCATATATATCAAAGGTATGTATATAGCAATAAGTATCGAAGGTATACATAGGAAAGAGTTTTACTTTTTTTTCTAAAATTTTACTTTTTATCTTGACATTTTAGATGAAAGAGTAAAAAGTATATAAGAACAAGTTAAAATGAAAAATAAATTTTTATTTCTATAACAATTTCTGTCAAGGCTGAAAAAAGTTAACCTTGACGGTCAAGGCTATAACCTTGATAAATTTTTTATATCCCAATACACTTTGCTATATATCCTGATATTAAAGATATGAAAAAAATAAGTATTCCTAATTATGTAATCTGAGATTGATTCATTGAGACGGCAAATTGCTACTTTCAAATTGAACTTACTTTAAAGAAGCAGATCCAAAAAATGTAAACTGAAATCAATTCATTAAAAGTACAAATCAATGAGATAACAAATAATGATAATGAAAATTATATACTTGACGATACAAATCAAAAGTTATCTTCGGTTTGTCCTAATTATATTTAATTTATAATTAATCACATATTATCATGACCTGAAAATAGCATTAATAAAGTTGATTCTGCAGGTTTATATCAAGAATATCTCACTTGGTGCAATAATAATAAAAAAGAAGTATTGAATAATAACATTCTTGGTAAAAAGTTTGTACTAATTGATATTGGACGCAAATGAGCAGGTAATGGAAAAAGAGAATGGCGGTATATTCTTGACTGATTTGAAATTATAAACAAGATATATGAATTATTTGATAATGAGGTAGAGTAAGTAAACATATTCAATAGCAAATACTTTCACTGTTAGCCTTCACAAATGATGACACGCGACTGAATGCATCGTCAAATATATTTTTTACCCATGTAGCCTAATACATAAAATGTACCACCTTGGTGCATGGCCTAAAAAATATATTACGCTGCTGACGACGGTGGCTAATTTCTGTCGTCAGACCATATGACGATGGTGGTCAACTTTTGTCATCAGACCATATGACAATGGTAGCTAACTCTTGTCGTCAAGTCACATACCTAAAACTATTGTAATCTAATTTAAGCCGTTTGAAGTTTATATAAACTTCAAATGGCTATATACAGTCAGAAGAATTAAACAGTATACAATTAAATCAGGTATCAGATCAAATATCTAATGCATAATTAATTCAAATACTATCAATATCATTACCTCAAATAATTGATTGAAGACCTTCTATAAAATTACAACAATTATGTAATCATTGCCAAAATAAAATTTGATATCAATGGTCTTGTATTCCATATGTATTTTGTGGAAGACTTTTATATTTTGATAAGGTATCTTGGGTACTTTATAAATCATCTATCAATTATCCATTACAATAAAATTTATCAAATGTTCTTTTATCATTTAATCCAAATATCAATTAAATTTCTGAATTAAAAATTGTCATATGTAACTTTTATAAAAAACCTTCAACTAGGTTTATATTTTCACATTTATCTTCTATTCTTATAGAAATTCAAGTAGTTCATTTATCAAAATGATAATATTTATTTCCTATATTTTATATTGTTCTTTGAGAAGAACTCCAGGTAATAATTCTTATTCAGAATATTAAAGTCTAACTGAAACAATGAATTATTCTCATAATATTTGTGCACATGCTTTATATTCTAAAGTAGTAGGAGCTTTTTTGAAACCTAATACAAATAATAATATAATAAATACAAATGATAATACAGATTTAGATGAAACTTTACAAAGAACTGCAGAATGATTAATTCAAAACAATCCTTATTTACAGTCATATACCAACATTCCATTATTACAAAATCAGAATAATCCTTTTTCAAGAGCCAGCTATATCAATAATGATATTAACATTTCTCCTGTGAATTCACATAATCTTATAATTCCAAATTATAATTTTCCTAATAAAGTTCACAATGAAGACTTTCATTATACTCGATTAATGATTAACTTTATTTAACAAAGTGAAACATTACAAATTCCAATTTCAATATAGAATCCTAATCTTGAACCATTACTTTTTTCAGATTTATTCACAGATGAAAAAGGATACTTTTATAATATATTAGATTAACAGTTATCTAATTAAGAAATCCGATATGAAATATATGGTAAATATATTAAATTACAATTAATGAATTATAATTCATGATAGAGACTTCATTACTATTGGCTAGTATGGTTATATTTTCAATTGGAAAAATTTTGACATCATCAAAATACTCAATATAAATTATGACGACTAATTTCAAATTTAAATCTTACTTTAAATATTTTAGCAGCTAGAGATTTATTACAACAAAGTGCATATACAACAAATAATATAATTGATGAAAATAAATCAATTTCATTTTCTATTTTCATATATACAGGTAATACATATTTTCATCAAAAACAATTTCATTTAAATTCAATGTTACAAAAATTAAGATTACCTACTATCTTTGTAACATTAAGTATGGCTGAAAATTGTTAGTATCATTTATATAATATATTGGCTAATAATAATAATGGTGATACTTTACCTACTAATAGACCTTTTCATTGTGCTAATTACTTTGTTCATCAGTTTCAAACATTAAAAAAAGAGTTGTATAAAAAATCTGATTTAACAGGATTTGGTGAAATCACAAATTTCTTTAATTGTGTAGAATTCCAAAATTGTGGAGCAGTACATACACACAGTTGCTATTGGACTACAAATAATATTGAATCAATGATCACAAATAATATAATTTGTTCAACATTTCCTGATTCATTATATGAACCAGAATTATATTCTACTGTTGTAACTAATCAAATACATACTTGTAATAAAAAATGTCAAGAACCAGCTATACCTGGTCAAACATGTAAAAAAGAATTTTCTTGTCTTTATTGTGAAATAACACATTATGAAGAAGAAAATTGTTATTATATATACAAATATTTAACTGAAGCAGATTTGTGGGTTGTTCCATATCATGTACCTATTTTATTAATTTGAAATACACACATGAATATTCAATATATAACAGATAAGGAATTTGCAAAATATATGGCAAAATATATTGCAAAACAAGAACCTTCACATATCTTCAATATCCATGAACATGATAAATTATAAGAACATGTGATAGCTTGATGATTAGAATCAATGAAATTAATGTTTTTACTTTTAGAACATACAATTTGTAATTCTTCAACTACTGTAAACTTTTTAAATACTGAACCACCAACTATGTGAACATGGTCAATATTGCCAATCTATATGATTGATGAAAATGATGAAAATCCATATTATGATAATACAATAATGAAATATATGGCTTGACCACATTTGCCTGAATTTGAAAATTTAATATATCCTCAATATTTTGAAAGATATTCTATAACACCATCATCTCTACCATCAACTAATAAACAAATTTATCAAAATAATTTAAATAATTATATTGTTAAAAGATCAAAGGAAATAATTATTAGATATTGATTTCTTAAAATTGAAGATGGTGAATTATATTTTATCAACAACTATTATTAAAAGTACCAACAAGAAGTGAGTTAGATTACAAATATGGACCAAATGAAACATAATGTGAAAAATTTTTATCACTCTTTCCTAATTATTTAACTGAATAACAAAATCAAATTGTAAATACACATCAATCACAAATAATATATCTTAACAATCAATTTATTGAAATGCTTAATTGGTTATTACAATCTTTAAATAATCAACTTACAACAAAATATTTCAGAAATAATATGAGTTCATTAGATAACTTAAAAATTCTTCCACATGTTTATCCTGAAACAGCAATGTTAGAATATCATGTGTTATCTACTATTTCAATGTATATGGAAAAAAGTAATAATAGAAAATGGCCATATTATTTTATAACTGGTTCAGCAGGAACTGGTAAATCATATATTATAAATA